CATATTCCAGCCTTGCATAAAGCTTCAGAGACATGTTTGTGGAGTCTCGAAACTCATGGTTTCAAAAGGACAGGGGACTCTGGTGGACACACACATACATACAGAGAACCCATGAGAAGGAGGACAAAAAGAGACAATGTTTGCTGAGTACTTTAGTTATGTATTATACGTTTGTCAACATTTTTTCCTTCCTTTGAAGTGACAATGCAGTAACACTATTCCTTTCCCGACAATAAATTAGGTCCTCTGAGACTGCTTGCCCTTGGATGCCTAAACTAAAGGCTGAGGTGAGTGTTTCTCATGCCACTAGTGGTGGGAGCCTGCAATGTCTTAAGGCCTGGGCCAAGCTTGTCATCGTTCAGCTTTTGAGGAAGACTGAAGGCACCCTCTGTGGAAAAAAATACTAGTGGGACGCTGATGCAAAAACTAAAAATTGAGGCAGGATTCACTGTATGGTCTCTCAGCTCCACGCATGCACTGTGATCAACAACTGACCCTAACTAGTTTCAGCATCAGTGACGCAGCTATCTCCACAAGATAATAAAATACCTTTCACAACTAATAAAGGTAGAATAGAGCAGTATATAGTTTGCCATATTGTGATGTTTTTGCAACTTAACCCTGCCTAAATGTTTTCATCTTGTTTATGGTCAACTACAATTCACTAAAGTGTTTATTTATTTGATTGAGAAGTAACATATACCTCATGGCAGGGAATTTAACTTGCATATATACTATGCATGCCAGTTTTATTGAATACAACAGCTCGAAAAAACATTTTTTAGCTTCTGTCATAATTAAGCAGCAACTATCTGTTGGTTTAGTGGTACAACTATTGTCAAGTCCCAGGTGTATAAAATAAATGAGGCATTCAGAGGTCATTATTTATATTCACTGCCAGTCAGTAATGATTAAAAAAATAGATATTTACATATATCACAACTAAGGAGTTAAATCATTAACACTACAGAAATGTAAAATAAGTATTTAATACTTATTGCGGCTCCTGTTGCCACACATACATTTGTGTCTTTAAAAAGATTAAGTCTTTTTGTTTACATTCTAATTGAAAAGCCTATATACTGTACTCATTGTTAAATGGATAAACAAGGTCTGTGTGGGATCAATTAACAGTCTCAGAGTGATGTGATTAATAGGTGAATGCTTTCACATCATGAGCGAGAAATATATTAATTTAGATTATGACTGAGAAGTACATTGTATTAATTGAGACCCAGTGGTGGCGTGATAATTGAGGAGTTCAATTTATACATATTCATTACTCCATAATGTGCTGTATATATAATCTGTGAGAGCTGAGCTGGAGATGCAAACAAGCTCCCAGTGAAATGTTTTAATTGGCCTGTTCTATTTCCATTTCAATAAGATGTCCCCTCCTCTCCTCTTCTCCTGCCCTCCCCTCCTCTCCTCTCCTCCTTTTGTCCCCTCTTCTACATCCAAGCTGTCCTGTCTGATATTTGACATGTTGGCTCCCTCTCTTCTTCCTGTCAATGGATCGGTTGACTCCATAATTTGGAGAGATAAAGACGAGTGTACGTGAATGGGTGAGTTTGTGTGCGATTGGATGCAGCAGGACAAGAGTAACACAGGAAGTTGAAAGAGGAGGAGATGGGAAGATGAAAGGAGAGACATGAAAGAAGAGAGAAAAGTTGAGATTTCATGAACACTACAAGTGGAGCTCTGGCAACTGAGATGAGATGTACTTCTGATCAGAAGCCATTACAGACCAAAACTGTAATCTAAAGTTATTCAGAATAAGGCATCCTATCAGCACTTGAATTCAAATATCAAGACAGTTTTGAGTTCTGATAGTTTTATAACCTCGTTCAAATGTAAATCTAGTTCAGACTAGGTTTCATAATTTGTGATGTGATAATAAACTTACATAAAACAAATCCTGAAAGTCACATTTAAAGATGTTTAGAAGCAGGCCCCCAAAAACTCCAATGCCCTTAAAACTTGACAATACCTAATATAATTGAACGGAGAGAAAACATGTTATGTAGCCTATTGTAATATTGTTATTGTCCAATATTGAATTACATTTTTAAGCTTGGGTTTTGATAACCTGGAGAAGAGCAGAATAGAGCTGAATTGTCAATACTAGAATCAAGATAACATAAATGCGTTGTTGTCGGTAAAAGAAAATAGTTTACGTTTAACATAAAGCAATAATAACCAAAATACAGAAAATATAATATATAGATTTAAGTCAATAATTGTACAACAAACTGAAAGGGAATATCTACGAAAAAATATAACTGACACATAAAGAAACCACCAGAAAGAAAACATTTTGTAAATCTGTGATAATTTCTTGAAAACTGCAGTAAAACAGGAATGGGCAGTGGAGCAGCAGTCATAATGTTCAGTGCTGGAGTCCCACCATCAGTACAAACGGCTCTCTCTCAATTCAGTCAAGACAGGAAGCACATTGGTTTCAACTATTAACCACTTAAAACCTCTGCCGGCCACCACTGAAATTATCCCAATTTGATCATTGATATTTAGATGGAGATGAAGAGGAAGGAAAATAGTATTGATGAAAAGAAAACAGGGTGGACCGGAAGAAAACCCCTATCCTGTCCCCTTATTCCAATGCTCCTCTTCTACTCGTCTCTTGCTTTGTTTCCTCTGTTTTTCTCCTCCTATAATTTGTTTAAATCTCCCTTCTGTCTTTAACTCCAACAGCCTCTTCTTTTCCCCTATTTCCCCCATCTTTCTCTCTTGTTCCCCCTTCAACCTCACATTTCTCTCTCCCCTCCTCTTCATCTCCCTGTGTCACTGGATTCTCTACCCCCCCCCCAAACACCCATCAGCCCTTTTTCCTTCTCCCCTTCCTACCATATCAACCCCTCTTCATGCCCCCCCCGTTCGTCTTTGTGTGCCCTGCCATTCTCCGTGCTGCCCCAGGCTCAGACATATGGCGCTCTCCTCTCTGCTATTGTCATCCATTAACACAGTTGTCGGTGGGAATTACAGACACACAGCGCAACATGTAAGGCTACGCTCTAGCTTCTGATGTTGGAGACAGAACAAGGCAGGGGAAGATGTTAGGTGTCTTAAAAGGGCAAGAAAAGAAATTTGATACACTGCACTTCAAGCATTATCTCTGACAAGAAATGTCGCGCAAAATGTATTAACATAATAACTTAGCTAACTAAGCAATTTGTTGATTAGCAATACAAAAGTCTTCAATGCTTCGCCGCTGAGTTGTGGATAGCTCCAATGGCTGAAGACAGAGCGTCGTTCTGACTGTTGTTTCGACTGTACAACAATCACCGCCTGACGGTTGAATGATGACAAGGTTTGTTCCTTGCAGAGGACGACAGCTGCTGTCGGCTTAGATTTACAACAGCTACAGATTATTCCACATTTCACAGCTGTAAAAGTTATCAAAGCAACCATAGAAACTACCTAAACTATCCCAGTAACATAATTTACTTCTCTACAGCTATCCATCCATCTCTGTTCCAGTAGGTGGTGTTTATGTCACAATATTGCTAATTACAGCTATTGTTTGTTATAATCCCAGTGAAAGTAAACAACACAGCTCAGAGAAATAAGTTGACCAGTACATGTTCCCAGCTGGCCAGCGTGATAGTGGTTAGCTCACCAGCTACAGTAGTTGACCTAACTTAGCCACCTACAGTAGTGGTTACTGGCCCTGAAAGCTGTCTCTGCCACCAGACCGGCCCCTAACCAACATTTGCTATTGTAGCTTTATAGCCGCCAAGCTAGCTACGTTATTTTATTGGCATTTCTTTTAGCACATTTAAAATTCAGGTTTAAGTCCTGAAACTGCTGTGTTTATTTAGCACCATATCCTATGACTTTTAATTTCCAGTGTTAGATACACCACAAGACTAGAGGCCTACTCACGTTAAACTCAGTTGGTAGTTCATTAGGTAGTGAACGCCCCGGGGAGTCGGCCATTTTTAAGGTTTGCTCACAGAAAGCTTAGAGAAAACGTCTCACTTAATTCACTCACTGACTGAAAATGACGTCTTTCACATTCAACAAAACACTTTCACAGCAGAGTGAACACAGCTGCAGCTTATAAAATGAATTATGGGTAAGTTTGATTCAGGTGTGCCAGTTAGCCGTGATATTACTAACTTGCTCATTAGCTTCTCCAACATACAGATGTGGAAAGTGTCCCTTGAGCAAGCAGATGTACCTATTACTATAACTACTTACAGTATGTCAAACTGCATATTAATAGTGTATGATTAAAAGAGTCTGCCTTCAAAATATGAATGTACAATAAATGTTTTTACAGATTTATGGTACATAAAGAAAAGAGAATGCTTGAAGTGCCGTATAAAAAAAAGTGGGCTTTGTAGAAAACATTTTTTTTTTTTAAATAGACGTGGCCATTCTGATCAGATGCCTCTCAGATAAAAGTTTGCATCTCCTCTATCAGCAACAGACTTCACTGCGAGTTTGATTAGACTGGATGGAAAATCACAGCACAAACACACACAAACACAGACACACACACACTTCTCTGAAGTTCTAATTAAAGTGGTTGTGATGACAGAGCTTGCAGTGTGATGTACAGTATTACACAGCAGTCACTATCACATTGCCAATGTTGTGTGTGTTTGTGTGTGTGTGTGTGTGTGTGTGTGTGTGTGAGAGGGGGGGGGGATAGAGAGATAATAGCTCTATAATAATCAGTCTATAGGAAATGGAAGAGCAGAGTGCTGTGACGGCTTGCCAGCTAACTGTCAGTTGCACAAACACAAACACACCTATGCGTACACACACTTACACCAATGCTAATCAGACCTAACAGTTGTTACATCTGATCCAATGTCAAAGTACTATTTAAAGATATTTTTTTATTGTGTAGTATGCAGAAGAGAATTGTGGCGTTTGTTGGGTAATGTGGAGCACCAGAATGAAAAACGGGTATTTAATGACAACATGACAGCTGAGCTTTAATTTGCAGCATGAGAGTAAAAACTGGCCGCAGTTGCTCCAGCAGCGATGCAGGATAGATGCCACTTTGCAAAACATGTAGCGTGAAAGGTAGACAGATTGACATACAGTCAGGTATGGAGACAGAGAGACAGGCAGGCATGCAGGCAGAGAGTCAGAGCCTGAGGTGGTGTGTTTGCATCTCTCCTTCATCGTCTGCAGGTTTTGATTCTGTTTGAAGTTCTCCTTTTCCAGCGATGGGTTTTGTTAAGTCTTGTCAGATTGTTCTCTTGCCTTTTTTCTGAGTTGTCAGGACAAGACGTCTTTAATCTTCCTTATCTACCGTATCTGCAAAGAAAAGACAAATACAGCTCTTTTTTTCTTCGCTTTCTTTCGCTCATAATAAGATGAAACCCACTGGCTGTGTCCATATTCCAATAATCTGTGGCTTACGTTTAATACCATAGTTGTTAGAGGACATGTTAAAGAAATTGACATCTCTAATAGCGTGAGCAGACCAGAGATACGTGGAGGAGCAGGTTCAATAATTAAAATGTTGTCTTAACATTATGCAGCAAACCTCTCACTCTCATACACCCGGGAGTTGAATTACATTCAGTTTGTGGAAGGTTTTCTCAAAAATGAACATATTACACATTTAACAAAACAAAGTAATGTATTCTCCATTAGTCTGTAGAGTTCATACCGTATTTAATGACCAATTACAGTGTTGAGAAAGCTATTTCCCTATCTATTACAAAGGATGTGGGTGTCAGGGTAATTTGTTAAGAGTGAAAAATGGTAACAAGTATAAGTAAATATCATATTGCAACACATTATATCTGTGAAGAGTGTGACGACCCACTCCACCTTGTCTTCCTGTTCCTGGTTGTGTGGCTTGTCTTGTTTTCTGTGCAGGTACTTTAAGTGGGTGTGGCAGAGGGTCGTAAGCAAATTGGACACACCTGAGGCCTGTGTGCCATGCGCCTTTAAAAACCCTCTGGGAGCTCAGTACTCTCTCTCTCTCCTCCCTGAGACAACTAACTAGTTTTTGGGTTTGATGGTTTGATTGTGTTGTTGCATCTGATTACAACACAGCACTCATACACTTCTCCACTCATGAACCCACTCACTTACAACACTGATCCTACTTATTTCACATACTACTGTTAGTTTAGTTTAAGTTTTTTTTCCTTAATAAATAATTTGTTAATTGGCTTTGTTGTGTGCGTCTCCCTCCTTTCGTCATGGCAGTATGGTCCGGTTTGTGACAAGAGCAATAAGCTGTAGAAGTAGCTGTGCTTCTTCACATAAATGAGTCTTTGCAAGAGATCAACACGACATACAAGTACAACCTAATGGTATATGTATGTAAGTATATATTTGAATGGCATTCTACAGTAAATATACTTACAAGTGCTAAAAACAAAGTGCACCTGTACAAACTATGCAACCTTCATAGAAGGATATATTCCTGCTTGGAGCCAGTTGGGGAATACATCCTTCTGTTAGTATCAAGAATTAAATATATTATGTTTTTGATTGTTTGTCTCTCCCAGCTGCCACCTACCGTAACGCAACACAAAATGAAAATCTACACAGAGAAGAGAGGAGTGGAAAAGGGAAGGAGAATCCAACAGAGCAAACAAAACAGCATAGGACGACTCAACTGAACTGAGCTTAAGTGCAGAGCAGAGAAAAGCGTCATTGAACGTCCTAATCTTCAGTGACTTTGTTGGAAAGATCTGGAATCCTTGACCGTTAAAGTTAATCTCATCATAATACGGGTCTATTTTCCAGCTCACAGTTTGCTGACAGAGGAAATCATCATGCTGGGGAGAAACCAAGCGTTCACACTTCAAATTACCGGTGACCCCAATGCACACACACACACACACACACACACCCGCGCACACACAGGCATGATTATTAAAAAAGACAAGAGCACAATCACAACACACACACACACACACACACTAATGTACAGAGATAGAGTAAATGAACAGATGCACAAAGAGCACATGCTGACACACACATGCACATGCACAGATGGATACATAGACACACACACACATACATACGTGGCACATCTACATACTAACCTTTGCTTTTACTGTACAATACTGAATACGCTGGATCCAATCACCTCGATCCTGCTCGCCCGCACACCTGCCTACAACCTGCAGTATATCAACCCTGGCTTTTCTCCCACTTATCACCAGATTGTTGTCTCTACTACTGTTAGTTTACATCTCGGGCCTCTTAGTCTATGTACTCCAAGAACTATTCCTCCTGCTTTGTTTATGCGTCTGATTAATGTATTTGTTTCCTCTGCCTCAGGATCATCTCCAGCCGGCCTGCCTGTGCTGCTTTCCTACTCCTCAGCCATACCCACGCTACCTCTGCTAGCCACACTGCCGCTTGCCGTTCCTCACCAACCGTCTGCCTGCTCCAGCCACATTTCTTTGGCAACTCATCCCCACGCCATTCACTTTAAATAAAACTTTTAGACCTTGGGTTCTCACCAGGGGGTCAGTCAGCCCTCTGAGGTTCTCTGAGTTACTGCAGGGAATTTTTCTTTTTTCTTTGAAACATTTAAATATGTCTGAAAATGCACATTAACATTAAATTCAACATATTATTATACTATTATATAAATAAATATATATAAATCAGTCAATTCATCAAAAAACATCAAAAAATGAAAGAAAAAATCAGTATATGTAGCTGCTGTTTCTGTTCTGTCTCTCTTTCAGCTACAGGGTCCTTGGCCTGAAATACATTGAATACCCCGATCCTAAACTTCATCAGCTTCCTTGTCTGTGTCCTGCGCTAAACACAAAACCCTTGACATAAACATGAAATATGTGTCCTGATAAAACAATTTAGAGTCTCACATAAACACACAGACATATGCACATACACAGTGACACTGCACAGGGAATGTGGCCGAGGCAAATGCAGGGAAAAACAGAGTGCTCTAAAAGTCACTTACAATTTGGAGAGCTACTTAGTCAAGGTCATTACTGTACTGAGTCTGTGCATGTGAGTGTGTGTTCCTGCATATGTGCATATATCTGTGTGTCTGCCTAGCGAATACAATAATGCAGCCATTTTCAGCTATACCAGAGTGCAGTAAGACCATTAAGTGTCTGACAGAAGTGCTGACTATAGATTACAGTGGCTCTAAATCTGAGCCAGGCATTATGAAGCCAGCGTGCTCCACAAAACTCGAAAAAGTAGAATTGCACACAACAAGCAACATGTTGTGTTACATATTCCAGACAACATTTGTTAATAGAAAAATGCATGGTGTTGGTTATGGTGTGGGGGTCTGGTGCCAGTCGGAAGGTGACACGTTGCGTTCTGGCATCAGCAAGAGCATCCAGCCCTGTTTAGGCGTCCTTCAGCTGACCTAAAATGAGCAACAGTGCATATAGCTGGTCTCAGTCTGCATGATACACAGTGGTTGAAATGTAATGGGGAAAAAGAAAGGCCTACTAGGACCAATACATTATAGTACACACACACCAAAAGAAAAGTGAATAAAATAAAGAAATGCAAAGAAATGGCATACCTTTGTCAACCTGAGGCCCTTTCCACAAAGTGATTCTTGAGCACTGCTCACATAGAAATTGCAGATGGTATCACATCACGTTTCACAAATTATTGTCACTGGAAGATTCTAGATAGATTTGCAAGTCCTACAGGTCTCCTGCATGCTCATAGGTGAGACAAAATAAAGAAAAAAAAGAAGAAGATGAAGAATTCCAGTTGCAGGTAAAAACTAGAATTTGGATTTGCCTATTTTCAATTATGCTTTCAAACATGAGTGTCTTGACAGAGTTTTTTTTTTGCCTGTAGAAGAATAGCATTTAACACAAGACGACAACCACTTCAACTGTCACATGTTCAATACAACATAACACAAAGCTGTAGTACTAAAGCTATAATAACTAAAGTACATGCATAATATCCTTATTATCAGTTTTACAAAAAAAATAATTGTTCAAGAAAATGAAGCCACTAACTGCCTCAAATGAAATTATATATCTCAAACATTACCTGCAAATGCAGGTTAAAAGTCTATGGTGTTATTATTATTATTATAATTTCCAAAATGGCCAACTTCTTGTTTTAGAAAACAACTTATGTGGCTTCCCAAGCATCTCTCCCACTGAAAATGTGTTGAATATGTAATACCCTGCCATGAACTGTGACTATGTATGATGGATACGCTCGTGCAACCATTTGCAACACAACAGAAGCCCCACTTTATGTGTTTCTGCATTGCACTACAGTATGATTAAATAATTACTCAAGTGTTACAAAAACCACTCGAAACAGGGATTCTTTCCAGCCTGAATAAGGACACGAGTGGCTATGTGCAAATGGTTCAGAAGCACAGTCCATACATCCCGCCTGGCGATCAAATGTTTGGGAGATGATTGATCTCAAGTTCAGTCCAACAGCTAAGCCGGGAGGGGGAGAGAAAAAAGGAGGAAAGAGAGCAAGACAAAAGATTGAGCAGAAAGAGAGAGTGAAAATGCAGTTGGGGAAAGAAAGAGAGAGATAAGCAGCATGTGTGAGCCTCTAACCACCAGCTGACACTCTTCATCTGTTGTGTTGTGTCTGTGCGCCTGTTTCACCATCGGAGCACTGTGGGTTTGTCTGAATACATCAAAACAGCCAGAAAAACAGAGAGAGAGAAAGACAGAGGGAGAAAGAAATAGCATTTTCTTAGAGAGACTCCAGCATCAACTTTCTGTCTCACTTTCTCTTTCTTTCATTTCTCTCTGTGTAATATCATTTCCCCACTCTGTCCTGCTTTTATCGCTCTACCCCCACCGCCCTCCCGTTTTCTCTTTCTGTCTCTCTCTCCGCGTCTCCTCTCAGAACCAGAGTTGGGAGTTGGGAGCAAAAGGCAGGAGACAGACAAGATAAAAGCTGTTTCCTGATTCTTCAGCTCTCAGCTTCTCTGCTGTCAGGCAAGAAGACAGCTAGTCAAGACAGAGAATTTCCTGCTAGATGTATCCCTGCACAGCTGCTGTCGCAGGCAGACAGGCAGAGAGAAAAGAGGGCGGAGAAAGACAGACAGGCAGAAAGACGAGTAAGCTGATATGTAGACAGGTAGAAAAAAAAGAGGCAGACGAGGTGATCCTGCAGACCTTCGCCCTGACCCCGCTGGTAAAATGCAGAGAAGTTAGTGTTTTATATGTAAAGAGGAAAAACTCATCAAACTTATTTTAACATCTGCTGGGTGGAAAATGATAAAACAGCTTGTGAAATGTATTTTAAACTGTTGCCAGGGTCACAAGCGATGTACTACAGAGGAAAAACAAGTGATG